GAAAACATGATTTTACAGCCCCTTAATGTCATTTTTTCTCCTGTTCTTTTTTACACGAGTGCATACATACATATATATATATATATGTATGTATAAAATTATATATTCCTGACGAGATTGTTTTAAAAATGACTCCAGCTGGCACCGCATGCCTCATAATGGCATTGCTTCATGCATTGCCAAAAACCAGGATTGCATTCACCCCGCAGATCCAGCTGAATATATAGCTGTCATCTTACAGTTTCCTTTTATAACGACTGGGAACAAAATGCAGCGGTGGAGGGAAATTAAGGGCACACAGATGATTTTGGCCTTAGGTTATGCGTGCGGTGGATGGGGAGCTCGTTGCGTCTCGCTGTGGTTGGTTAGCTATGTGGTGCAGGCTGAAAGTACAGCTGTTTATAGCTCCCCCGAAACACAGGCGAAATGCAGAGCTGCCCCCCTCTTCCAAAAAAAAAAAAAAAAAAACCTGTAAAAAACACACACCCACACTAAAGGTCCGAGGAGCATTTATGTCTGCATGTACGTGCGCACCACACCACAGACAAAACCTGTGATTACACTGGTCCAGACGCACACTCAGTGTAATTACATGCAGTGACGCACGGCTGCCCGCCACGCTGTGAATTCGCACATATTGACTCACAATTTAAGCATGTCGAGGCACCGAGGTGGATTTTATATTGCTCCTAAATGTTGGGATAAATGTAGATGATGCACAACTAAACAAACAGGGGCTCCACAGCTGTACTCTAGAGTCTGGAGGTTGTTGATTGCGCGCCTGTGTGTGTATGTGTGGACCTGTAAATGGGGCCCCTGGGGTGGGCTCTGGTGCCGCCCTCAGGGGCGGGGTGTGTTTATTTAAGTATCTGTGTGTGTGTGTTTGTTATTTGGCAGTCATGCTGAATTTAGGGGGCTAGCCTCGAGATAAGGAATGGAGTTTAAGATGAAAGGAAAGTGGGGCGAGGACAGGGAGACACTGGCACGGAGTTTGTGGATTCAGGGGGAGGTGAAGGGAGGCAGAAAGGGGGGAACTGATAGAGGGGGAGAGCCTGAGGAGGAGACTGATGGTGGGGCTTCTTTTTTATAAAGTTGTTTTTTTGACGTTACATAACACCTTTGCTTATGTAGTTAGAGCTCTCATACGTGCGTGTGAGGGTGTGTGTGTGTGTCTGGTAGCTTCTCACTGGGAGATGGGAATTTCTGTGAAAGGCAAAGGTTGCCCATAGCAACGGCCTTCATTGTAAAAGTGATCCTTGGAATATAGCACACACACAGATACGAGAAAGACACATTTGCACCCTGCTCACACTGGTGTGTCTTTTTTTGGTATTTTCAGTACTGTCCGGGTTTGACATCTCCAGGCCTTCACACACACACACACACACACACACACACACACACACACACACACACACACACACACACACACACAC